TGCAGCAAAATTTATATACAATCAAATACATCTATTTTAAGTGCCCAGTTCAGTATGTTTTGACAAATGTATACATCCATGTAAACACCAACACTATCAAGATATAGAACGTTCACATCATCTGAAAAAGTTCCCTTGTGCTTCTTTGCAGTCAATTCCCAACTTCTGTCCCTAACCACAGGCAACGCCTGATCTGCTTTCTGTCTCCATGGATTAGTCCTGCTTTTACTGGAATTTCATATAATTGAATTATACAATATATACAGTATGTGTCTGGCTTCTTGGGCTTAGAAAAATTTTTTGATATTTGTCCATGCTGTTGCGTGTATCATAGTTTGCTCCTTTTTATTGCTGAATAATCTTCCATTGTATGGATATACTGCAATTTGTTTATCCATTCACTTGCTGTTGGAAGCGTGGGTTGTTTCCAGTGGGGGCTGTAAAATGGTTTGGGGGTGTTGTCGACCTCCTCTAACTTCACAGGAGAAAGGAGAATGAAGATCAACAGCCCAAGGCTGATTCCCAGGAGGCGGAGGTCAGACATGCCTCCTCTCTCCACCATCTCTACCATTTCTGACAACAACTGTCCCTCCCACAGCACTCTCTACTGGGTTTGATAATTCACTGCAATGGCCACACAGAACTCACAGACCATACTCACAATTGTGGGGTTTATCAGGGAAGTAACAGTTAAATTCAGGCACAAGAACACTCAGGATACAGTTCTTCCATCAGGATAGCCTCTCCACAGCTGTGCTCACAGGCATGCCTCTCCCTGGCCCTCAGTCTTCGCCCAAAGGCACTCAGCTTTCTCTCTCCATGGGCCAGGAAGCCCACCACGTTGTCTCCTGCTGCCTGGTCTCTCCTGCTGGTTTCTCCTTCCTTGGTGGTGGTGGGCTCCTCCCTTCTGCTCTGGAATTGGCTCTTTTAAGGCAAAACTGACCAATCCCCTATCACACAATCACCTGGGTAGGAGTTACAAGACCATGGCTAGAAAGGCCACACACAAAAGTAATTAATCATACTGCAGGGTTATTATGAATAAAGCCATTATGAACATCTGTGTACAAGTCTTTGTGTGGACATATGCTTTCATTCCTCTTGGAATAAATCCCTAGGAGCGATCTGCGGGATGATAACTACAGGAAATTGCCAAACTGTTTTCTGAAATGGTTGTGCATGTCACAGCTCCAGCTGCTCCATGTTTTGCAACACTTGGTATTGTTGGTCTTTCTTTATAATTAAAAAAAAAAAAAAAACCTTTATTGAGGCGTAAATACCTAGGAGTTTAATTGTCGGGTCACATGGTTAATGTATACTGAACTTTTAAGAGATAACCAGAACTTTTTCCAAAGTGGTTCTACCATTTTACATTCCCACCAACAATGTATGAGAGTCTGGTTGCTCCACATTCTCACCTATATTTGGTTATGTTAGTCTTTTTCTTTTTAAACACCGTAATGAATATGTAAGGAGCCTTAGTGGTACCGTGGTTAAGCACTTCGTTGTTAACCAGAAGACCTGCAGTTCTAACATCCCAGCAGCCCTATGGGAGAAAGATGTGGCAGTCTGCTTCTGCGAAGATTACAGCATTGGAAACCCTATGGGGCAGTTCTACTCTGTCCTATAGAGTCTCTAGGAGTCAGAACTTGAGGGCAATGGGTTTGGTTTTCTGTTTTTAGGTTTAGTGAGTATGTAGTGGTATCTCATTGTGGTTTTAACTTCTCTGATAAAGACTAATTCTGAACATTTTTTCATGTGCTTATTGGACATTCTTATATCTTCTTTTGTGAAGTGTCTGTTTAAATCTTTTGCTCATTATAAAATTGGATTGTTTTATTTTCGAGTTAGATTTCTCTACATAGACTGGATACAAGTCCCTTGTCTCCGTATACATATTGTAAATATATTCTCTCAGTCTTTGGCTTGGTTTTTCATTTCCTTAGAAATATCTTTCCAGGAGAAGAACTTTTAAATTTGGATGAAATCCAATTTATAATTTTTTTTAATGTTACGTGCTTTTTATATCCTAAGTAAGAAATTTTTGTCTATCCCAAGGTCATGAAGATTTTCTCCCAGGTTTCCTTTGAAAATGTGTATAGTTTTAGTTTGTACATTTATGACTATCATGCATTTTGAGTTCATTTTTTTGTATGATGTAAGGTAAGGGCTGGCTTCATTTTTTTCCACATGAATATCTAGTTGTTCTACAACTATTCGTTGAAAAGACCATTTTTCCTCCATTGAATTACCTTGACACCTTTGTCAAAAATCAACTGATAGAATTCACCAATGAAGTTATATGGGTACTAAGTTTTCTTGGGAAGCTTTTAAATTATAAATTAAATTTTTTAAATTGTTTTTACCCTACCTGCCAAAGAGCCCTGGTGATGCAATGGTTAAGTGCTCGGCTGCGAACGGAAAGGTTGGCCGTCCAAACCTACTAGCCACTCCGTGAGAGAAAGATGTGGCAGTCTGCTTCTAGGAGGCCGCTCTACTCTGTCCTATACGGTCATTATGAGTTGGAATTGACTTAATGGCAATGGTTTTTGGTTTGGTGTATAGTGAGAGAGAGAGAGACATAGAATAAAAAGAAAAATGCCAACATGCTAGGCAGAGTTGTACAACGGGGTGATGGTGATTGCGGGGTGTTTTTCCTTTATTTTCTTAATTATTTGTAAAGTATTTATGTTACTTCTATAATAACTGCCTTTTTGATAAGCATACTTGGCTAACCCATAAGGAGTCAATCGTACCCCAGACGAACCAGTTTGCCCCAGGCCTCATCTCAGCTTGCTGCTGGGGACGTGCCTTGTGCCAAAACTGACGAGAGGGCTGTAGGACATTAAAATTCTATTGGGTCATATTAGGACTTATGAAGCCCACAGCCAGACAGGAGCCAAAGCTGCTGCAGTGATTTTTCACAATAGATGTGGAAAAACACTGAGTAGACCAGAATGCCAATAAAGCTGGTTCTAGATTTGAGCAAGACCCCAGGAGTTTGGGGAACCAGGCAGCATGGTTTATGAACTCACAATTAAGAAAATATAGACTAAGTCAAGGACTAGATAATGAGTTTGGACAAGGACCCCCGATATCCCAAAGATTCTGGGCAAGATTTAGTCAAGAAGTCTGAGGAATGGCATGCAGCACTAGCAACAGGGCTTGAAAAACACAGGGATTTGTTTACACTTTTTCTAGCAAATGATGGAACTTCATGGCAGAACCTGATCTTATATGTGGAATTTGAGTATGAGGCTAGAATGAGGATGTGGGAAAAAATGCACCAGGTATGAGTGTTTCCCCTAGAAAATACTACGATGGAATCCAAAGGGCTCATTTAGTCCTAGGAGTCAAAGTACTTCTTGAATACCACTCACTGTTCAATAGAATTTTCTGAGATGATGAAAATGTTCTCTTATCTGCACTGTTCATACAGAAGCTACCAAGCACACAGCACTATGGAGCACTACAAGTGTGATACAGTGCGACTTAGGAAATGAAGTTTTCACTTTATTTAATTTTAATTAATTTAATTTAAAATTTAAAAATGGCTAGTGGCAGCCATATTGAATAGCACAGCAAAAGGTTGTTCTTTTTAAGAATGGTCACACAACCTATGTAATAAAAGAATCCTTTGTAAAAAAAAAAAAAAAGGATGTTACATTAGTAGCACCTATATATATATTGCGATTAATAATGATTCCATAAGAAGCTAAATCAGTTTGAGGAATTCACGCCCTTTCCAGGGTAAACCTAGATTAACCACATTTGGGGCTCAACCTGAAAATGCATTTACCCAAGCTGAACTAGAATCCACCTTGCTCCCAAGTGGTTTTCTAAACGAAGGACAAAATGAGCGAGGCAAGGCAACTGCAGGGCTGAGTCAACTGTTCTTGGGCCTGCCTTCATCTCAGCTCAGACTAGACATGACCTCTGGAGTTTGGAAGGCACAGCAGTTCTTCCCGTGGCACTTGTAGTACAATCAGTTGAGGATGCTCCTAATCTTAGGCCATCCCAAACTTTGCCCTACATGTAATAAGTAATAGAGTCCTGTAACATTTCAAATTACAGATTACTAAACTGGATGTTAGACCTAGAAATCCAAACATTTACCAATTTATTCCTACCCAATTAAGAAAAGTGAGAGATGATCTAATGTCAAAACAGGTTTATTGGTTATTTTACACAAAAGAATGTAAAATAAAAAAGGATCCATACAAGCTGCCTTCCCTTCATTCTAAGAAAGTATACCAACTACAGGCAAAAAGAATGGAGTCAAACTTAAAGTTTACATAATGTTGTTGTTGCTAATTTGTCAAGTCAACTCTAACTCATAGTAACCTTACATACTATAAAGAAACTCAGAGCCTCGGTTTGTTAGGAAAATGGACAAAATCTTTGGAAAGTAAATGAAGTAAAAAGAAATTAAAACTGAGTTATTCATGCCTATAATAATAGTATTGTTCATCTATGATATAAGAAGTCATGTTTATTCAATAATTCAAAAATAAAGTTAATATTTTTAAAAGGAATGGTAAAGTTGTCAGGTACCAATTTTTTTTAAACTTATGGCAGAGTTGCTAGGAGTTTTACCAACAACCCTAAACCAACCTAAAATTCAAAAACACAACTCACAAAACAAAATTGAAAAAGTACAGATTCTTCCTGACACTAAACCCAAGATTTTTCCCTTCTTCAAATCCTCCTCTAAACCCAAATTATGAGAAATAATTCACTCAGGCCACTGGGAACATTTCTGCACAGCGACATAATCAGAAATTTTACCTCTTCCATTGTTTAACTGATTCGTTGCCATCCTAATCCAAATCCGAGGAATGTAGGTACAGGCAAGAGGGTCTAATTTTCCCGGAAGCCTGTGACTGAGGCATAACTAAACTTCTGTGAGAAACTTAAGCCCTGAGCCGTAAGCTCCACAGGCAGGCCCTGGTGGCAGGGGAAACGAGCCCTCTTTGGGACCGGAAGAACAAACCGCTTCCCTAAGGCATAAGTAGAGGAGGATTTACCCAGGGATCAGGCTTCTCCAAGGCTGGACAGGGGGGAAGTGCGGAAAGCATAGTTTTTTTTAAAGGATGAAAGGTGTCCCTTGGAGACAATGAAACACCTTGTTTTGCGCATTTTAAATCTTTCTTGTTTTCCACCATCAATAACTGTTCTATCTCCTCTTTCAAAGATAAATTTGTCTGAAACTCATGTTTGGGTATCTTAATGCATTCTTTCTGAGTTATTCTCTGGTCCTCTGACCACCGGGAGCTGGTGCAAGTAAGTTTGTTACTGGCATCTTCACGGGCTTCTGCTTCCTTTAGGGGAGGTAGATGCTGAGGTTTTATTTTAGTTTGTTTATGCATAAATTCTTCTTTCAACAAATTCACACCTTCATGAGATTCACGAGATGTACAGCTTGGAGCTTTATCTACCCTAGAATTTTCACAAAGTAAGAAACCTCTTCCTTTTCCTTCTTTGCCTGCTGTCTTTGTCACTGATTTCTTTGGCTGTAGCACTGTCCTTATTAGAAGTCCCTGTGCGTTCACACTATACTCTTTTGCAGCTCTCTCCCTGCGCTGCTTCTGGAAGTCCTTGAGCTGAAGCAGCTCCTCTGGCAGCTCCATACATGTAGGCTAGAAAAAGAAAATCAAAACAAGTCTACTATAACTAAACTTAATACGGTACTTAAAATCACTTCTATTATAGTTAACGGTATTTGGCAATCGAGGGTCTATTCAAATGTGTTCATATAGCACCCTCTAGTGCCTTCAACTGGTGGCAGAGTGGTTAAGCAGCCGGCTGCTAACCAAAAGGCTGGTGGTTCCAACCCACCAGCCCCTCCACAGGAGAAAGATGTGGCAGTCTGCTTCCATAAAGATTACAACCTTAAGCCTTGGAAACTCTGTGGAGTAGTTCTACTCTGTCCTATAGGGTCAATATGAGTCGGAATCGACCCGATGACAGCAGGTTTGGTTGGTTGGTTTGTTCGTTTTTTTAGAGTAGTACTATTTTTCAAGTTAAAAGGCAGTGAATCCACATAGTTGTGTGTGTGCATGAAGATTATACAGTGAAAAGCAAGTCTCCCTCCCAACCTAGCAACTGTTGCCTGAGCAGGTGCACCCACTAAAAACATTCCCGATGTGGTCTCCCTGAGATAGTTGATGCATATGTGATCACCTATATCCCTTACTAAACGTTTATTTTTTCATTGGATTACACTTTTTAAGTTTTTATTTTCTCCCAACATTCTTAAAGTTATTTTGATAACTCCTTCTAATATTATTTTATACAAATGGTAATATAATATTATACACTCTCCTGCATCTTGACTTCTTTAACTAAAAATTTTGTCTTCGTCAGGAGCAAGGGAGAATGAAGTGAATCAAAGACACAAGGGAAACATTAGTCCAAAGAACTAATCAACTACAACTACCACAGCCTCCACCAGACTGGGTCCAGCACAACTAGATGGTGCCCAGCTACCACCACTGATTGCTTCAACAGAGATAAATATAGAGGGTCCTAGACAGAGCTGGAGAAAAATGTAGAACAAAATTCTAATTCACAAAAAAAGATCAGACTTACTGGCCTGACAGAGACTGGAGAAACCCCAAGAGTATGGCCCCCAGACACCCTTTTAGCTCAGTAATGAAGTCACTCTTGAGGTTCACCCTTCAGCCAAAGATTAGAAATGCCCATAAAACAAAACGAGACTAAAGGGGCACACCAGCCCAGGGGCGAGGAAGAGAAGGCAGGAGGGGACAGGAAAGCTGGTAATAGGGAACCCAAGGTCGAGAAGAGAGAGTGTTGACATGTCATAGAGTTATTAACCAATGTCACAAAACAATATGTGCACTAATTGTTTAATGAGAAGATAGTCTGTTCTGTAAATCTTCATCGAAAGTACAATAATGAGAGATGGCACCAACATGATGCTATAGACAGAAGCACCATGCCTTCCCTCCACAGTAAAGACCCAAAAAACTAAGTAAAACAGAGACAAACATCAATCCTGGAACCCTAAGCATCAAAAGAAGAGATAAAGAATTCAACCAAGCATCGAATGGAATAAGAAACTGATGGAGAACAGAGAGCGAGGACAGTTATGAGCGGAGGTCCCCTATCAGCTAATGCAGAACGGATCCGCCATCTTGGATTCCTGTTGGAGATCAGCAGACAGGGTGTACAGGAAAGCAGATTCACGGAGCTCCCAACAGGAGACAGAGCACCAGGTAACCACTGAGGAACACTTTCCCACCCCCCACCCTGCCTTCCCCTGCTCGACCTTCGCCGCTCCCTGGCTGGCCGATCTGAGGCTTCCCAGTTGGTCGATTCCCAGCTTCCCAGAAGGTTAATTTGCCGCTTCCTGGTGTGCTGATTCCTGGCTTCCCAGCAGGCCATTCACTGCTTCCTGGCAAGTCTATTTCCAGGTTGTCTGCAGACTGATTCCTGGCTTCCCAGTGGGCCGCAACTGCGGCACAGAAGGCTCCAGTTCCATATCGCTATGGTTTGCCCCACCCACACTGGCCAGCTTCTTCACTGCCATTTCTTTGTTGCTGGTATTGCTTTTTTCAGCCTTCTTGGTTTCTTCCCTGCCTCTCACCTCCTCCCCCTCCTTTCTCTCGAACACCTGACTCCGTGTGCCATCTTTATTTCCTCTTGGCAGGCTGTGAAGCACGGCTCAGCTGGGGAACTGCTTCCCCGATCTATGCTGCCAAGTTGTGGGATCCCTGAGGGCTTTTTTTTTTTTTTCTTTTCGTTTGTTTTCTCTTTCTTTTTTCCTTTTTATTTTCCTTCATTTCTTGGTATCTCATCTCTTTCTACTTCTTTTCCTGTCTCCTGAATACCTGGTGCTATGTATCATCTCCACCCCTTCTAGCCAAGCTGTACTGCGTGGCTTGGGAGCCACTTCCTCGGACTGCATGCTGCATTGGTGGGATCCCTTGGGACTTTTTAAAAAAATTTTTAAATTATTTTTTAATTTATTTTTTTTTCCTTTTTGTTTTTCTCCATTTCTCAGTTTCTTGTCTCTCCACTCCAACAGCAAGCTCCCTCAGTACTTTTTGTTGTTGTTGCTCCTGTTTCTCTCTCCTCTCTCTCTTCTTTTCCATACCCCACCTAGCTCCACACATCACAACCTCCTCCTCTCCCTTCCCCTCCCTCCTGCCTGTTTGCACCATGTGCTGATCATTGCACTCCTGAGCAGCACAGGCACGACCTACTGGAACCTGCCCGGCACTGACCACCGGCTCATCTTGTTGGCCCAAGTACATGTAACAACCCATCCCAGCCCCTCCCCTTCAGTTGGACCTTCCCTGCTGCACCATACCTGAGCGATTGGCCCTGCCCATGGGACAAGTAGGTGAAAAATATTGTGTCTACAGACGATCAAACAACAAAGAATGCACAGCCCGCCTGCTCAGACATAACCAAATAAAACAAAAAATCAGGACAAAACAGACAAATCTGCAATCAATAAATGACGAAAATAACTACTGAATGTCCCAAAGACAACAAACAATATCAAAACATATAAAAAAAACAGGACAGGATGGTTCCAGTAGGTGTCCAAAATGAAATACCAGATGACTTTCTGGTAGAAGAAAAGGCACTAGAACTACCTGATAGGGAATTCAAATCTCTAATATTCAGAGCCATCCAAGAGATGAAGCAAAAAGCAGAGAAACATGAGGAAAAAACAGACAAATTCATGGAAAATACATATAAAACATGGAAGAATTCAGGAAAATAATACAGGAACAAAATGTAAAAATAAATTCACAACTAGAAATCATACAAAAACAATAATTATAAATCCAAAAGATAAACAACAAGATTTCAGAAATGGATAGTGTCACAGAAGGGCTGAGGAATAGGTTTGAAACAATGGAAGACAAGATTAGTGAAATTGAAGACAAACACTTGGATACAACTTTGAGGAAAAATCAGAAAAAAGAACAAAGAAAAATGAAGAAACCCTGAGAATTATGTGGGATACAATCAAAAGCAAAACTTTGCAAGTGATTGGAGTTCCAGAACAGGGGGGAGAAAATGGAAAACACAGAGAGGTTCACTGAAGACCTGGTGACAGAAACCTTCCCTAACATCATGAAAGATGAAAAGCTGACCATCCAAGAAGCTCAACGAACCCCACATAGGATAGACCCCAAAAGAAAACCACCAAGGCATATCATAATCACAACCGCTAAAATCAAAGACAAAGAAAGAATCCTGAGAGCAGCTTGAGAAAAACAAAAAGTCACTTACAGAGTGGAAACAATAACACTAAACTCTGATGACTCGGCAGAAACCATGCAAGCAAGAAGGCAATGAGATGACATACATAAAACCTTGAAAGAAAAAATTGCCAACCAAGAATAATACATCCTGCAAAACTCTCATTCAAATATAATGGTGAAATTAGGACATTTCCAGATAAACAGAAATTAAGGGAATATGTAAAAACCAAACCAAACCTACAAGAATTATTAAAGGGAGTCCTTCAGTTTGAGAACAAACAACATCAGACAACAGCCTGAATCTAGGACACAAGATCACACTAGCCAGATACCAACCTAGGAAATGAACTCTCAAGGACTATTCAAAACCAAAATATCTACAACAGGGAACCAGAGAGGTTAATCTGCAAATGACAACAATGTCAGAACAATAAAAGAGGGTATAAACAGTGTAGCGATACCAAGTAATAATATACTGGTCCAAACTTAGGAAGATAAGGGTAAATTTCAAAGTAACCACAAAGAAAGTTAACAAAACCACTCATCAAAATAAAGAAGAAAAACATAAAGTCTCAGTAAAAACAAAATCTACAAAAACAAAATGAATGAAAAAAAAATCCACAAACAAAGGCATTCAGCACAGGAGAGTAAGAGGAACAAAGAAATCATCAGCACCACAAAAAAAAAGCACTACAAAATGAGAACAACAAACTCACACCTATCAATAATTAAACTGAACAAAAATGGCCTAAATGCACCCATAAAGAGATGGAGAGTGACAGAATCGATAAAAAAAACATGATCCATCAATATGCTGTCTACAGGAGACACATCTTAGAAACAAAGACATAAATTTATTAAGAATCAAAGGATGGGAAAAATATATTAAGTAAGCATCCACCAAAAAAGAGCAGGACTGGCAATACTAATCTCAAATAAAATAGACTTTAAAACAAAATCCATCATAAAAGACAAAGAAGGGCACTATATCATGATGAAAGGGATGATCCAGCATGAAGACATAACCATAATAAATATCTACACACCCAATGACAAGGCTCCAGAATACATAAACTTTAACAGCACTGAAAAGAGAAATTGACAATTCCACTATAACAGTAGGAGACTTCAACACACCACTCTTGGTAAAATGCAGAACATCTAGAAAGAAACTCAACAAAGATACAGAAGATCTAAAGGACACAATCAGCCAACTTGAACTCATAGACATATATAGAACACTCCACCCAACAGCTGCAAAGTACACATTCTTTTTGCAATGCACATGGAATGTTCTCCAGAATAGACCACATACTAGGCCACAAAGCAACCCTCAACAAAATCCAAAACACTGAGATAATATAAAGTATCTTCTCTGATCACAATGCCATCAA